AAAAAAAAAAAAAAAAAAAAAAAAAAAAAAAAAAGTACACCTTGCTCCTGGCAACTGCCAGGGTAACAAATTGGAGCCACCAAATGGGTGAGATACCCAGGCATGACAGGGAGGGAGGGGACAGGCCTCAGCAACAAGGAACTAGGAACTTCACTTTCAGAACTGGGGCATGAGCTAGGGTTGGGGACCTAGGGATTAAAGTTTAGGGAATTGGAAGCTAGAGGTCACAGGCTATATGGAACCTGAGCATGGGGATGAGAGGGAGGGAGGCAGCGGGGTTTACACTAAGAACAATCAGAGGAAGAGGCTGAATGGCAGGGGCTAGAGAAAGGGGAAGGTAAGGAACTTGTGGGGGAAGTGGCCTGTAAGCAGCTCCACTGATAAACAGGCTCCCAGTGGCACTCAAGGTCCTGTCAGGAAGCAAAAGACCCATGTTCACTCCAGCCACTAACCTGCTAATCCGGCCCTTCTCTTGTGAAATAGGTGGTGGGGGTCACCACTCTGACCAGCCTGTTCCAGTCTGCTCTGGTGGTCTGACCTCCAGACCAGGGGATCATAACTCACGGCCTTCCCAACTCCCACAGTCAGCACAACTCTAGCAGCGGCTTCTTTAGGGTATGTGTGCCCAGCACCCTCGGTTTAAAGAAGGATCACCATGTATGGCTAAGCAAGGTGTGCACCGCACCACACAGCACTAAAAAGTGTCACATCATGTCTCCTCATGTGCACAGATTTGTATGACAATTCCTGCAGGTGGCAGTCAAGTGGCAGGAGTGCTTTTGCTCATTTGCACAAAAGCTCAGCATGGGAGGGTGGAGGTCAGAGAGGTCACCAGAAGGAGTGGGAAGACCTGCAATCTTGACCAGAGGCAGCCCTGAACTAACCCCTTTGAACTGGCCTTTGGGACCCCATGGGGCTATTGCAGGCCAAGCCTGGATTCACCCTTCCTTCTCTGCAGGGCCCATCCCAGGCCAAACCTTTTCCTCCTCTAGGAAGCCTTTCGATCCCCTTACCCCCAAAGACCCTTCCCTGAGTACGCTGCACTGATCCCGAGGTACCCACCAACTTGACCTTCAACTCCTGCTCAGTTGTGGAGATGGAAAGAGAGTGACCTCCGAAGACCAGGCTATGCCACCTCACAAGTCACTTAGCTTCTGAGTCTTAGATTTCCCGTCTATGAAGTGGGAAGAGTAACTCCTGCCCCAGATGATGCTGTTAAGTGAACTGATGGGCTTCACGGCACAATAAAGGAATAATTCACTGGGCTGTGGACTCCTGCAGGGCAGGGATGGCCTAAGATGTTTCTGGGCCTCTGGGTCGGCCTCACGCTGGGACACAATGTGGTGCTGGGACGCTGCGTGAGGACCAGAGGAAGGGAGGTGGTACAAGACTATGACACGGGGATGTTTCAGGGCTACAAGTGGACAAGGCCATTTTTCAAACTTGACTGTCCTCATGTTCAGGTCAGGGGTCCCAGGGAACCAAGGGAAGGAACTTTCATGGCACCCAAATCACCCTCCTTGCATAGCTGTGGCGACTGCCAGAGAGCAGGATAAAGACTGAGCCAGACTGGAGCTGAGGGTATAGGCCCTGATGAGGTTGAGTAATTCCTGGGCATCCAGTGGGAGCTGGCAGCAGGAGGAGCATGCTGCAGGACCCTCAGGAGGAAAGCAGCTGGGCCAGGAGGGCCCCTGGGTATGGCTGGATAAGGTGCTCCATCCCAGGAGCTGGAGACTGGTGTCACAGCCGTTGTGATAGAGAACCCTGGAGGCTTCAGCACTCAGCTTCTTAGGCTCTGCCTCACCTCCTTCCCATTCCTGCCCTAAGCCTGCAAAGGATGGGACCCTCCACTCTAAGTGGGCCGATCCCATCAAAGGCAGATGTTCCTCTCTCCTGCCTCCTGAGGATGGTCACACCCTCTCCTCACCCCTCACTGTTCCTGTCTGGCCTTTCCCACCTCAGAGCCCTCTTATTAGCAGTGGGGCTCACAGTTACAAAACGGGACTGCAGCCACAAACCCCAACCCTATACAGGAAGTATGGGCACCACTGCCAGGCTGCCAATGCCCTGCCAGTGTGACTGCCATTCAATACTTGTTCCTTCCCACTCTAGATTGTTGCCCTAAGCCAGGATACACAAAGCTACCTGTCACTGCTGTGGACCCCGCAGGGTTAGGAAGCATGTCCCTTAGGTCCCGAAACAGATGGTGGAGTCTAAACTCCAGAGTCAGAATGGCAGCTCAGTAGGAGCTACCAGCCCCACCCTGGCCAACATCACAAACTCTCAGAGTCATAGACACCTGGAACCAGAG